CCCTGGGCAGCCTGTTCCAGTGCTTGATTTATACATTCACTCTTCAACTATAACCATTGAATGTGGCTGATGTTCAATTTTGAGAGGAAAGCATACATCTTGAAGTATGAATACAGTGGACTCCATCTCTCACCCCCCAGCAGCAGACTGAGTAACTGGCTGACATGAAGAGCATGCTTTCTTAAACAACTTAAAACTTTCTTTCCTACTGCCTTCTTGCCCTCAGACAATGCCTCTGTGAGTCTGATACCTCTGAGCTGGTTCATTTTTATTTTTTTTTTTTACTTCTCCATTAGCAATTGTTAATATATATTTGGATTGTGATTAACTATAACTCAATTCTGCCCATCAAGCCAGACATTGCTCATTATACATTATTTGTGTCTTTAACTTTTCCAGTCTAAGCACAATAGTTTCTAATTTATTTATTGCACATGCTGGAATTCTAGACTATTTTCTCCAACTGGTAAGGATAATTTTGGACTGCAATCCTGAGTTTGCCTCCTTCCAATCAAGTGCCTGCCACCCTCCATCTAGATGTCATCTACAAATCCAGGGTATGTAATACCTATTCTGTCAGGCACATTGCTAATGAAAATTCACAATAGCAGCAAACCTGGAACAGACTCCTACATATCCTGACTTGTAGTGATGTTTTGTTTTGACAAGAAACCATCAGCAACTACCCTCAGTATATTTTTTCAATTTGTTTTGCAACCAACTTTTAACTATTTCACCTGGACCATATTCCCCTACTTACTTTAAATGATTGTCACATAGGACTGTATCAACCCGTATTAAAGCCAAAAAATAACACATCTATTTATTCTCTATTATCCATTAGACCAATTACCCTGTCAAAGGAGAAAATTAGATTGGTTTGACATGATTTATTCTTGACAAATTCATGTTGGCTGTTTCTTATCACCTTATTATCTCCTGGGTGCTTACAAATTGATACTTTAATAATTGTTTTAGAAACCAAGCATAACCTAAACAGGATAGAAGACCTCTGGTCCTGCTTCCTCCCCCATCCAAGGTAAAACCATAGTAAAGTACTGTGGAGAAATATTACAATCTCATCCTCCAAAAAAACTTTCACTATTCTTTTACCAGAATAACACTTTTTTAAAACCTGACAACTTCATACAGTTGAACTGTATCTGGATTCAGTGGTACATTTGCTTTATAGGGATGGAAAAAAACAGGATAAAAATCCAACAAATAAGGACTCCAGGATGAGCATTCAGCTTATGATTTTAAGGAGAACATGCTATTTAAGTCAAGAAATAATTTCTGGTTAACGTGTATGGAATTCTTTTTACACTGTAACATTATTTCCTGTGAGTACATAAACATGCTGCCCAACTTTTCTATAAAGGCAAGCTGGATTGTCACTCAACCATCTGCATTAAATGAGAGTGAAGAGAAAACCCCTTTGCAAGAACTGGCTTTGTTATTGATACTATCACTACCTTAATGAAATAAGGAAATTAGAAATGGGGGCAAAAGAAGATCAAACAGCCAAGACACATGATCAAAAAACTAGGACAGAAGTAATCTTTTCTTACCAAGCCATGGGGTTGTTTGAGAGTTTTTCATATTTGTTTGTTTTGGTTTAGTTTCATTTTTTTTAGTGAACATTCATCTTGGCAGAGAATTTACTCCTACAACTACCTATAGGCACATGAGCTGTCTTACTGAAGTCAGCTGGAGTCCATTTTGCAGGGTGCTTTTAGCAGATGTTTAATGCTTACTACAAAGTATGTGTTTACAGTTCTTCCAGACTGGTGCACTATCTCTCTGCACCTGCCAAAATTTAAATGACAACTGGCACAATGGCAGCTAAGCATATACTTACAAATCTTGCCTTGTATTGGATGTACAATGAGAATGCAAATGTTACACCTAGATCTTTCTCATAGAAAAATAAAAACAAAAACCCAATCCCTTTGCCAGTAAATTGTTCACTGCTTGAAATGGACTCCACATAACCCACCTCTGCTGTTCAAATGGGGTTTTTCCCAGCATGGAGACGCTTGGGTTACTTGCTCATTCCTCCATTCCCATGTATTAAAGATTTATTTTTAAAAGAAATACTGAACACACAGGTGTCATGAGATTTACAGATAACTCCTTTAGAAAGAAGCTAAACGATTTTAGACTATTGTACTACCTTTTCTCATTTTTCTTTGAAATGTAATTTTGATACCATGTAACTAGAAAAAAAGCTCTTCTACTCTGAAAGAAATCTGTATCAAAGGGGAGAAAACTCTGTATTCTCTGCAAAAATGAAAAATCTCACAGACCAGTTTTATTGTAAACATTTTCATAATACTGTTGTGCAGCAGGTAAATGGAATTTCTATTCATTACTCTCTGATCAATCCCATCTCCAGCATCTAAAAATAAAGACATGTTGGTAGAACAGCTCCAAAGCCCCAAGTTTCTGAACAGAAAAGCTATTTATTATTGTTATAGTTTAAAATTATGTTCATCAAAATATGATGAAAATGAAAGGTAGATTCATTCAGTAAATGAAAACTGTTATCATAATAATAAGAGGAAAAAAAATACCGTGTGTATGCTTGCCATTCATATAATAATAAAAAACTATAGCTAATAGCTCTTTTTCTTCAAAGCTATCTTTTCTTTAAATCTCAACATTAAATCTTTAGTTTAGCATGTTTTTACTTCAAAACCTGGTGGAAATTCAGAATTACCCAAGGAACAGTGGAACATAGCTCTGCCTATTCCCCTCACATTGCAGAAAAGCACTTCTAAAGTGCAGTGGAACTCTGACTACTTATTATTTCTTGAAAAGCCTCAGTAGAGCACTTTGTGATCCTCAGCAATAATAACTATATGCACTGGAAGGAGAATAGACCATCATAAAGATATCCACAAATCTCTTCTGTGTGGTAGGGAAAAAGGGGAGAGATAACATCCCAGGTTAATCAATGGGCTTTTGGATCATAAACTCCCCATCAATCAGCAGCACTGGGATTATTTTAAAAATCAGGTGAATATTAAAAGTGGAAAGTGAAAGATACTCAGCAAGAAAGTCTCCCCATTCCATAAGTGGTATATTGATCTACTTTGCTAGATGGGAGAGTTACAACAACCTTCTACTGAACAGCACTGGCAAATTGGAGATAAAGCCTCTATCACTTGAAGGTGTGAAGGGTGTCCTGGTTTGAGCCAGGTTGAGATCAGATTTCTTTTTATTATTTCTTTTCTTCAGTGAACTCTCTTTTAAGCGGCTGAAAGTAGCACTAGCTGAAACTTGCTGAAAGTAGCACAGCAAGTTTTCCAGCTAGTGGACTGATAAAGTTCAGTACTTATAGATACTGCTAAGAGACCAAGGACACTTTGATCACTTATTGCATCTACTTCTTTGAACACTAAAGGAGCAGAAGAGTCATATCTACAACCCTCCTGTAGGGAGCAGCACACTAGACAGACACCAAAATTGGCAAACCAAAGTATTCCGTGCATATATTTATGTAGAACTCAGTACAAAGTCAGGGATCATGGAAATCAAACCCTTTGTTCTTCTTCTTCCCTTCTTCCTTTCATGGCCAGTGTGCAGGGAGGACTCTGCCTATCCATCTCCTTTGATCCCTAGGCCCATGTTCCTGTATATATTTGTACTTATTTTCTTTTATCATTATTATTAGTTAATTAAAGCTGTCTAGTTTAGTTTTCAATCTGAAAAGTGTCTCTCCTTATTCTCTCTCTTTTCTCTACCTGGGTTGGGAGGGGGAGGAGATCAAGAGCATTAGTGTCTTCCATTTAATTGCCCATCCTGAGGAAAATCTTGACTTAGGGACAACTATATATCTGGTTAACAGCTTTTCTTCTAAGAGTTTGCTGTGAACAGTCTAAATCAATAGTTTTCTTCTGGAGCCAGTTTTTTAGACACCATAGATGACACTGAAAATGGCCACTGCTTCTTCCTCCTCTCTTTTTTGGAATCCTTTCTAAGAGCATCAGAAAAGGGCCAGTATGGGAGCATATGCAGGAATATGCAGGAAAATGCCTAGCTCCTGTCAGCTGGAAAATTTTTCACTCAATGTATCAATCAAAGTTGTGTATGTGCTACTGAATAAGTCATTTTAATATGTCATTTTCATATGTAAATTAAGAAGAACTAAAAAACAACAGGTAGTAACTGAAAGCATTTGGTAGAGTAAGGTAAATTTCCACCAGCAATGGCCATGTCAAAAACTTCCTGGAGAGACTGAAATACCAGAAGAAAATGTATTGTACTCTGTCAGGTTTTTTTCTGCACACACAATGATCCTGGAGAAAGAAATAAAGGAGTTAAATTCTGAGAGGCTTTTCTGTGACAAAACAGGTATTCCTTGGCAAGGAGTACCACTGAACAGCTTCCTTGCATGATTATGAGGGACTGGTTTTCTCTGTATATCAGACACCATCTCCAGTTCAGCTTGCTCTACTTCATTCCTGGAGGAGTAAGTTGGGAGTCAACTGACAAAAAAAGAATATTTTTTTTTTTTTTAAGTTTGTGTTGGCAGGACAGGAACATTAAAATTACAATTCTGGCTAGACAGAGATATTGCTTTAAGTATAGAAAAAGCAAGGTAGATCCACAAGGACTTGAAGTATATCTGAATAATTTCTAACAGTTGTAGGGTGAAAAGGAAGGCAAAGATAATCAGGACTGGTAGAAGAATTAGGACCCAGCAAATATTTCAGCCTTATTAGCAGTAATGGATCAATCCATTTTCCTATTTACACTCTGTGCAGCACAACTGAAGTTGATGAGCTTGCAGGGATATATCCACAGGGAAAATCTGGCTGGGTGTATAAACACTACCAAATAATTGTGTTTATTTGAAGCATCCGACAGCCTTTTCATCTCCTGAGCCACAAACTGAAATCACAGTGTTTCATTTAGGTTCAATTTATGCAAATTATGGCACATCCTAGAAAATAAGTACATATTTCTAATCTGATACAAAATTATCAACTTACATCAGAATTAAATCTCAGCTGGCAAATATTGCATGATATGATTTGCTTTCTTCGATGAGGAAGAGGAACCCCAAATGTATGATTTATTACAGCTTTTTGAATTGGGTCCATCTGTGAAGAGAGAGAAAAAAGAAAAATAAAAGCTTTTGCTGTTCCACTGTGTGTTATGTTATCTATAGTCTCAAAACAGATTATGCATCATGCCATATCATACTCCACACTAGAGAAAACGATTATTTTTCTTTAAAAATGAATATTTGTTCTTTGTGCAATTTTACAGAGGTTATACAGAAAGGAACAAAGAAAAATGTCATTAGCTAACTTGAAATACTTATCCTTAGTGCAATTCCATATGCACCAATCTCCTTTCACTGAAGAAACCTAAAAGCTATAAATATTGAACAAGTTCAAAGCAAGTATTTGAATGTTGAACAAGTATCAAAACACCAACTTATCTTTCTTACATAATAGAAAAGCTAGTTCAAGAAATTAAACAAGAATATTTTGAATAAAATTACTAAGCTAAGCATCAATGGAAATATTAGTATTATATACAAATAATTCCACAATAACACACAATAGCTCCGTATTATGAAGAAAAAAAAAATTACCAGGAACCAGTTAATCAATCTTTTCCATAAAACAACTGCTACACAAACCATGAAAAATCAAAATCCTTCAAAGATTTTTTTTTTTTTTTCACAGCCATTTAGAATAAACTATTTTGCATAAAACATACTTTAAGGATGAATTTTAAGCATCATGAAAAGGAGTCTTCTGAACTAACCTCTACCACAAACTGATCTGCCAATGTCTGCAAGTCAGGGTCCATAAGAAAATATAATATTTTGGTGGAGACCTTCACAAAATCTACTGAACAGACTTTTTTACATGTAACATTGAAATAAACTTCCCCAAATTCATTGATTAAAAAAAAAATAAAAAATCTTTTCTTCACAAGAACCATTTGATGACTATTTTTGAAATCTAGTAATAACTTTATGGCAACTTGGTAAAGCCACTGACAGTTTCTACCTTTAAATTGCATTGTTAAAAATTCACAGATTCTGGGGACACAAATACAGCTAATTGTCTAACTCCGATGATAACCAGTATTCACACAGCATAATTTGTATGTGTCTTGAGAAAAATACACTTTTTTCCTATGTTCGTATCCCCATTATTCACTTTTTTAAAGTCTGTTAGCAAAGGGTTATTTGATAAATAAAGAATCAGAGCTTTTCCTCAGAGTAATCAATTATTCATGGAAGCTGTAACAGTAGACAGTCATGGCCCCTATGGCAGTGAATCCAGAGCAGATCACTACAGAAATTTTGCATCACCTGGCAGCTGTTCAGTGTCAGATATGAAACAGTTCATTAAACTAATGTCTGTTGAAAAGACATTTAGATTGGTTTAAAAAAAGAACCAGGAAAATGGCAGAGCTGTATAGAAAGGTTTGGAAACCATACTCAATTTGAACATACTTCTCAATTTGATGTGTAAATGAAGTAACACACATTTCTGCAACCACCAGCATAAAAGAACACCAGTTCCACCTAGAAACTAAGGATGCCACTGTAACATAACCACAAAACAACACTGATTGCTAAGGTCAGAGCCTATGAAGCTCTGAAACATTCCAGCATGCTGTGGAAGACATTCTCTGGTGATCAAACCATGTGTTAGGGGCACTCGTTATACTTAGTAACATGATCTTGAAAAAGCCTATGGTCCAAAAACACTATTATACAGACCAGAAAGACCACCACCAAATATAAAAGTAAACAGACAGTAACAGCTCTTCTTTTTTGAACTGATCCACCAACCAAGAGGTGAATTCTTATGCCAGCAGAACCAGCAGACCTGTACCTTGTAATTTTCAAAACTAAAGCATAAGCTCGTCTTAATCAATGTTATTTCACTGTTGCTGAAGTTTGGAGACTGCAGGTCTAAAATAGGGAAACCTCAAGCTCAGATATATTAATAATTCAGCACATGGTAATAAGAAATTGTGCATTCTTCAATTCAGTGTAACTGTTTGTCTTAATATTAATCAGAGTTGTGAGGTACTATAAGCTTTGCTTTCAGTGTTAACATGTTAAACTCTTTCACATTATCTCACAAGTACCTAAAGTTAAGAAAGCCAACAAAGAAACTCTTTAAGGGTTATATGAAAGGTACCTCCATGATTCGTAGAATGGAACAACTAATTTTTTAAATTGGATTTACCCATCTTCAGAGTAAGAATTCTAGCACTAAATGGCGTTGGATTTCTGGGGCAAGCGATGCTCACATATTGAGACCGAGAAAAATAACTTTTCAAAACAGAAAAACCATGCATGTGTAGAATAGCTGGTTAATTTTATATTGAATTCTATTTCACTCTCCTGGAAAAATGTGGAGTTTCTTTCTTAATCACTCCACAGATTTTTTTTCTTGTTTATCTCCTTATGCAGAAATCCATCTGCAGTTCCCTTTCCCTTTGTAAAGATGCACACTTCTAGATATAGATGTCCATGGCTTATTGTGAACTGGATTCTTTTGTTTGTGGCTCTAAATGAAGAAGTGTTCTGGATAGCCTCCAAGTTGATTAAGAAAAGTTGCTTCAAAGTAAGAATCTCCTCTGCCAATTGCTTTTTGATACTGCAAAGCAGAATTAAACTTAAAACTTTGCCCCAGATTCTAATGATTTTTAGGGCAGAATGTTGGAGTGGTATTTCACATGATTATTTTTGCCTGGACATTTAATTTGGGAAACACCATCAGTCCATACATTTCAAATAAACATCCAAAAGCACCAGATAAGCCTTGAGAAGTTACATGCAGGAAGTTTGAGAGAGGTAACAGGATACTTAGGTACTTCATGATAAGCACTCAGATCTCATAGACACTGGAAGATAGAAAGGAGTCCTGCTGAGAGTCAGAGGAACAACGAGAGGATGCTGATTGCCAGAAAATAGAGAACAAGGATTGAAGGGAAGTATAAAGAGGAAAATAATCGCATGTAACTGAGATAATCAGCAAGTGGTAAGATACTTAACAGAATCTCCAAGCACTTCCAGGTTCACTGAATGTTACTAATTACACATATAAATTGTATTTCAACTAACGTAAGAGGTATTTGCTTTCAAAATAAGAGTTATCATTATAAACTTTGATAAAACCTGCTTTTTACTCATTACTAGTGTTTTATCACAATTGCTGAGTTTTTATTTTATTTCTTATATTTAACTGACTTAATTTACTCCCATTCACAGAGGACAGAGAGGTTTGCAATTCACATGAAAGATTATGATCCAGTTGTCAACGTTGTGCACGACAGCAAGGTTTGCAAGATGTCCCTTTACTTCTTGCCAATGCATTTTCACTGTGAATTACAACACAAAGAGAGTGAGCTGCCCTGTGTTTGACTTGTTCTCTACCTATTGCTTTTCTACTCACCAATGCTTACTATGTCACACAGGCTGTGTCACATTTTTCCTTGTGATCAGTCTAGAGGTAGCTCATTGCCCAAGGCTCACTGCAAACCACAAGGTAACTGTTTGGGCAATAAAGATAAATGTGAAAGGTTTCGTATTTCATTCAGTTAATTTTTTATTTTCAATGCATAAAATGCACAGCAATCATACTGTCTGTTTTAACTAGTCAAGCAGAAACTTGTGGCAACATGATACTATTTACTTTGATCAAACACTCTACTCCCTTCCCAAGGTATTCAGGGCCTTACCATGCTTTAGCAAAATCCAGGCTTAAACCAACAGCATGGCAGACGCTGGGCTATTACTTAATTTTCTTAGCTTTCAACTTCCTGCTCTCAGTTGGTTTTGCTTGCTTCTTTCAAATTCAACTTTGTCAGAGCAACAACTTAAGCCACGGTCTTCTATAGCCTAGTCTCCATCTCATTGAATTTTGCTATCTGCACAAGGCAGTACCTAGGCTGGTAACTTTACCTACACAGAAATTTGGTCATTTAGAAATTTAAATTTCCCATAATTTCCATGAAAAATTATTAAGTGTTGTTTGGTTTTGTTGTTGTTGTTTTTCTTAATAATTTTTTTATGCTGAAACAGAAATTTAAACACATTGATCTTTCTGAATTTCAACATATTTTAAATAAATATTATTTTTTTTACTCCTTTTTATGTGACTTCTTATCCCAGAGGGATAGAGGTAAGCCTAAGTTAAAAAAAACAAGTCAATAGCAAACGAAAGCATGCAAGTTTGATCCATAAATGCTCAAAGAACAAAATTATATAGAAAACAAAGAAAGTTATTTTAATTTAAATTTTGAATTGTGTATTGAAACGAAAGGGCATGAAATAAGCATTTCAAATGCTTGAGGTTGGCAGTAGACTAATAGAATTGCACCAATATCTATAAACAAAAAATCCAGGTCAAAGGATCAAGATAATGTAGAGGCCCTGTTCAGAACATATGGTAGGCCTAAAACAAACAAGTAAGAAAATATTTTTACCTTAGAGCCAAAGCAATCAGCTGCAAAAGATTGACTTAAATCTCTATGGTCCTATTCTAAGAGATCAGAAAATCTCATTAGGTCACTGAAGCTCTCAGGAAAAAAATGCTGTAGAACATTTTAGTGGTAGTTTACAAAAAAATCTTCCACCAAAAGACTGACTTCCATTAGTCCAAAGGTAAGGGAATTCAGTGACACAGCTACCAACACCTCTCAGTACTTCTTAAAATCCAGATGCTAACACAAAGCAATGTTACAATGAAAGTTACATTAAAAGAATTATATTCTGAGTACGGTTTCTTACCATAGGTCTGCATTTCCAGAAACATATTCAAGTACAAAAATGAAGTCAAACAAGCACACTGTAATATTATTATAATTGCAAGCAAGGTACTAGTATTTCCACATGTGATCTGAGACTTATGTGAACATCGTAATTAAAAAATTGATAACAAATTATTCTATGATTCTAAATAAAGATATCACAGTGGGGGCTCCTTTCATTCATTCTCTTATTGTTCAAGAAATGTTGAAACTAATAAGAACATTGGAAACACTGTAAATTTTGTACCAACCACATACACAATGCCTTATGAAACAAAAAAAAAGGACAAAATATTATTGTATCTTCTAC